CCCCTATTATCCCTTATACTCACTAGTACTGGGTGGGAGGTCCACCTAAGCTAGAACTTATTATTTGGGGTTTAGGGAACTTGGGGTATGAGAGACTTGGAGTTGGGGGAACTTAGGGTTCGGGTTTAGGTCTAAGAAGACATTGAACTCTCCACTCGGCTTAGCTTGGAGCTTGAGGTTCAGGGCTTAGGGTTCAGGGTTCAAGCTGTAAACCAGTGACCCATCCTAAACCCTAAACCCTAAATCCTAAACCCAACTCTCCAAGCTACAGGCCAGTGGCCAATAGAAGGAGTCGCTGGTCACAGGTGTGTCCAGGGGCGCACCCCGCTCTTTCCAATCCGGGAACAGCTCCTCCGAAAAAATCACACCAACACCGATGGATCAAATGGAAGAGAAACTGGAAAGTGAAATGGCCACTGTGCTCATACACGGGTTCATACGGTGCGCGGCGGCTTGTTTGATTTTAGTCGGTGGGGGAAAAAGCAAGGACAGACCGTTGTTTTGGCTCTCTCATAAACTCAGGGTACAGCCTGGAGCTTCCGCTTACTAGCACACAACTCTCAGGCAAGACCACGCTGTACTGCATGACCCTATGTCCCGTAAGCCCTGAAAACCACCACAAGACTTGAAGGACCCCAGGTCATGCCAGATGTCCTATGTCCGCAGTACCTCCCGAACCACAAATCCCATACCCAAAACTCTGCAGCGAGACCACAAAGCCATGGCATGATCGTTTCCGGCAGGTTTCTCCATGGCATAAAATGGATTATGCATTACAAAACGTCTGTAGATTTCCATGGTAGCTGAACTTTTTCACAACAGAAAGATGATCTTGCAAACCCTATGGATACATAGCGACTATCCAAGCAAATAGAGCGCCTGCCTAGACCTCTTCCTGCACGTGACAGTTGTGCGGAATATAAACTTCAGAAAAGGAAAATTGAAGCTAGATTTGGCGCGCCCAAACATTTCCAAATCCTTTACTCCCTTTTCGTCGTACCGAATCCAGAAGTGAGTGGATGGAAGTGGATCTCCAGGGTTATGCATTTCGCTCATTCCCCGGTTGCATCATCCAGGAAGCTAAGAAATGGCAACGTCATCCTCAAGTGCTCGCGGCTCAAAGACGTTGCCGGAAAGAATGTGAGCTCCAATCTCGGCACCTTGCAGCAGTGCTGCAATACCACCAGAAAGCAGCGAAGCAAGGAGGAAGGGAATATCACCCCGACATAATCCCTAAAAAGTACATTCCCAAGTTCCCTACGAAGAACCAGGAAGATGAAATCAGGTGGGTCATGAATGGTGCTGCGCACTGAGCCCACATGTGCCAACTCACAAGGATTCCCACAGTTAGGCTTACCTTCTTAAAGGGGTTTACAGGGGTTATATAGGGGTTGGGGGTTAATAGGGATTGTAAAGGGATAATGGAAAATAAAATGGAAACTACTATTTAGGGTTGAAGGTTTAGGGTTTCCCAAAATAAGGGGTACCTGATTGGGGGTCCCCATAACAAAGACCATGGTATACTGAAATCCATATTGAGGTCCCCCTATTTTGGGAGACTAGCAACTCAAGGAATCGTTCACTCTCCAAGTTGTGCGGTCTTCAACCATCTGCTTTGTTGCATCGCAATCTGGAAAAATACAACAACACCAGGTGAACACCCAAACGTATGCGCAATCTCACCCCAACATATACCCCAATATCACCCCAATATATACTCCAAAATATAATCCAAATAGATACTCCAAAACAATCGCAATACCACTGGTCCAACTCAGAAGAAAAGGAAGACCTCGCCTTTCTCCACAACGCAGACCTTCGGAGTGCTGTGCCAACAGCTTCGGTTGCTTGAGTAATATTAGGTTATATTGGGATAATATAAGGGGTATGTTGGGATAATATAGGAGTTATTTTGGGATAACCGAATATGTAAAAGAAAATCTAGGTCCCTTTAAAGAGGTGTATAGGGGTTATATAGGGGGCACAGCTGACCTGAGTTGGGGTTGATCTTCGCGATGGGTTAACAGTAGTCACAGAACTCAGACCCGAAACGAGAAAAGTGTTCGTTTCGACCCCCCCCCATTAAAAAACTTGGAACCACAGCAAAAATTACAACTTTTGCTGCTCCTTAGGATTGTAATAAGCAAAAAGTAAAGATTATTTCCGTGTACCCCTAAGCCCCTGGTTCCAGATTAGTCTGTGAGGAAAAAAGCCGGAGCCCAGGAGCCTACACCATAAATCCTGAAACCCTACATCCTCGCAAACCCTAAACCCTTCACCCTCAAACCTATATATCCCTTATCAACACCTCAGACCCACTCAAACCCTAAACCCTTAACCCTCAACCATAAACCTTGGGTACTGCCCCCACCCAGTATAGTAACAGTCTATATTAGGGGTCCTATTAAGGGCTATATACAACCAAATTATAATTATTATCCAACTGTTACTGAGTGGGGGCAGTATCCAACATAAACCCTAAACCCTAAACCCTAAACCCTAAATCCCTAAACCCTAAATCCCTAAACCACAGATCCTAAACCCTTTCATGCCAAGGCTTTGGCGCTGAGATCCTGTCCGGCGGCCTCTGCCACCTCTTCAGCAACCATTATCAACTACGGTTTGGTTTGGGGTAATGTAGGGTTATATAGGGATAATGGAAAAGAAAATGGAAGCCATTATAATATTTTGGGTTTAGGGTGTAAGGGTTTAAGGGTTTAGGGTTTAGGAGTTTAGGCATTAGGTTGTATAGGGGTTATATTGGGATAATGGAAAAGAAAATGGAAACTACTATAATGGGTTAGATAGGGCTTAGGGTTCAAAATTTGGAGAAATACATTACAGATTAATTGTATATTATGAACTAGATGGTAGCTTCCCAAAATTAGG